AAAAAAAAAAAAAGTTGGTCCGGAAGAAAAAACAGTGGGAAGGAAACTGTGGACATATGCAGAAGAGAGGAGAAAGTTGGACTAACTGTGCCACAGCCCAAGACATGGCTTTTCTTTTCTTTTCTTTCTTTTTTTTTTTTGATACAGAGTCTCACCTATCACCCTTGGTAGAGAGCCATGGCATCACAGCTCACAGCAACCTCAAACTTCTGGGCTCAAGTGATTCTCTTGTCTCAGCCTCCCGAGTGACTGGGAATACAAGTGCCTGCCAATGCCCAGCTAAATTTAGAGACAGGGTCTTGCTCTTGCTCAGGCTAGTCTTGAACTCCTGAGCTCAGGCGATCCACCCATCTCGGCCTCCCAGAGTACTAGCATTACAGGGGTGAGCCGCCATGCTTGACCCAGACATGGCTTTTCTTAGAGAATTATATTTTATTCTGAAGATAGTGGGCAGTAATTGAAATTTCATTGATGAATACAGTATCATTTGTTGACTGCTGTGGGCCAGGACCTTTGCCAGCTGCTTGGGTCATCCCTCATAAGAGTAATACACAGTCATAGGCCCTCATAGCCCTGAGCCACAGGTGAGGAACAGACGTGCACCTGGTGTGCAGAAGGATGGCCAGGAGGTGACTGGTTTACGTTTTAGAAATCTCGTGGTTGTTCAGCCTGCTTATGCAGTATGGTGAGTTTTAGAAGTTAAGTGTGTACAAAGCCTCTGGGAGACGCTAAGTCTTCACTTTTTGTTCCTGAAACAGCAGGAGCCTGCTCATTCCTCATGTTGCTGTGGGGGGTTGTAGGCCTCAGCTGCCCTTAAGGTGAAGAATCTTGGACTGTCATAAGAGGGAAAAAGGAGAAGAGAGAGTGTTTTACTCCCTCTGAATAAGCTATTCTTTCAGAATAGCATTAGCTTGGCTCGGCGCCCATTGCTCAGTCGTGCTGGCCACATACACAGGGGCTGGCGGGTTTAAACCCATCCTGGGCCTGCTAAAGAACAATGATAACTACAACCAAAAAAATAGCTGGGCATTATGGCGGGCGCCTGTAATTCCAGCTACTTGGGAGGCTGAGGCAAGAGAATCGCTTAAGTCCAAGAGTTTGAGGTTGCTGCGAGCTGTGATACTCCGGCACTCTACCAAGGGTGACATAGTAAGACTCTTGTCTCAAAAAAAAAAAAAAAAAAAAAATAGCGTCATCTTTTTTTTTTTTTTTTTTTGATTGGGGGTTGGGTTCGCATCTGCCACCTCCAGCATGTGGGGCCAGAGTCCTACCCTTTTGAGCCACAGGTGCCACCCAGCATCACCTTTTGATAAAATTTAAATCTTATATCTTAAAGGATCAAAATATATCTTCTCTTAACTTATTGGCAGAGTCCTAAGGACTTCAAGGCTGATTAGAGAGTAAAAAGCAGTGTGTTGGGTGGGTTCTTTGTGATAAGAGAGGCCAAAATTTGTGTGTTTCCAGGAGCTGCTCCTTTTATTGATTCTGGCAGCTTGTGGGGGTAGGGATTTGGCTGTCAAAACCCACATTAGGGCCAGGGAAGGAGAAAAACTGGACTCCTTCATTCTTGCCTTTTTAATGTGATCTATATAGCATTATACCCTGGAGCTAGCACCAGCCTGGAATTCTGAAGATTGTAATCCACTTTCCAGTCTTCCTATCAGTAGCAGCATAGCTTAATTAGATTTCTGCTTTTGGTGTCTCCTATCCCCCTACCCTTCTCATTGCCTGGCCCATGTATAAAAGAGAGAAAATCAAGTGTGTGCTGTCCACCTTCCATTGCTCTTCTGAAAGATAAGATGAACTCTCTGGGAATACTTGGAAGTGGGTTATTCATGTGTTGAAAGCATTTTTTGGCTTGGAATATAATAATGCATACAGGAGATCTTTTCTACTCTCACAGAGAGCTCTTGGCCTGGTAAGAGCAACAAACTGAAAAGAAACATTACAAATGAGACAAGTGCTGTGGTTGGGCTGTGTTCTGAGGTCCTGGGACACAGAGAAGAACCTGCAGGGCCTTTCTCCTTGGTGCTAGTGAATGCAGCCCGTTTTGATACTTACCTGTAGATGAGCCAAGTCTTGCCAGGATCCAAGCAATATTCAGACCAATATAGTGATACCTGTTTCCCTGAGCAAATGCTTTCTCTTTCCTGGATACTTCACATTTCAAATTTGGCATAAAAATGAAGTGCTATTCAGAATCCTACAGCCCACCTAAAAGAAATGTGGGAGCAGGTGTTTGTTCTTCTATCTTTACTGGAGCTTAAAGCTCGTAGACTACTGTAAATGTCATGGCATGGTGTTGAGGTGATATCTAGAGATGTAGAGTGAAGAAATGTATAATAAATTCAGGAGTCTTAATTGGATTTTGCATTGTACATGTTCATCCTTTCCAATTTTAGCCTTTCTGCTGATAGTTGGGCCTTTTCTGGAACTCATCTGTGGTTCTCTGCAGATAATGGCACCTGGACACAGCTGTGGCTTGTCTCGGACTATCATGAGCATGGCTCCTTGTTTGATTATCTTAACCGATACACAGTGACAATTGAGGGGATGATCAAGCTGGCCTTATCCGCTGCTAGTGGGCTGGCACACCTGCACATGGAGATTGTGGGCACACAAGGTGAGTGGGCTAGCCTCAGAGCGGTGAAGCAGGGTAGGATTCCAAAGGCTGTACCATCCTGATTTAGCTCTTAGAACTAAATCTGAGAAAGTTCGGACCGAACTATCTAAAGGAGGGAGATTTGAGATTTGAGCTTGGCATGAAAACAAGAGATGTCTGTAGGGTGTTCTCTTCACCTATCTTTTGAACACCTTCAGGAACTTTATGATGTCAGTGGTCAGTTGTTTGTCAATTGCTATCCTGACACGGCTGTTCATTATCAAGGAATAATCATCCCAGAGGCCTACATTGTGCATGCAGAAGAATGCAACTATGGGGCTGGGCATGGTGGCACAGGTGCACTGATAGACACTGTGCTTTAGCTTGGGCAACATAGTGAGACCCCATGTTTAAAAAAATCAAAATTAGGCTCGGCGCCTGTGGCTCAAGCAGCTAAGGCGCCAGCCACATACACCTAAGGTGGTGGGTTCGAATCCCCAGCCCGGGCCCGCCAAACAACAATGATGGCTGCAACCAAAAAATGGCCAGGCGTTGTGGCGGGCGCCTGTAGTCCCAGCTACTTGGGAGGCTGAGGCAGGAGACTCGCTTGAGCCCAGGAGTTGGAGGTTGCTGTGAGCTGTGATGCCACGGCACTCTACCCAGGGTGACAGCTTGAGGCTCTGTCTCAAAAAAAAAAAATCAAAATCAAACAAAGAATGAAGCTAAAAAGATAAACATAACAGGAACATCAGTTTAGCAATTTTATACATTCATTGTTAGGGATGGCTGGCTTGTTAGTTGACTGGACCCTGAGCTTTACTAATCTAGGAAGGTTTTCTTCAAGGGAAAAAGACCTTGAGCTTCACTGCCTATTGACTGTAATGTTGGTTCTTTGGGAGATCCTGATCTTGTCATAGTGGCAGGTGTGATCCCTGATGCCTGGTCGACCAGGGCACTAGGTAGCTATTGGTGTCCATGAGAGAAAACCAACCTGAAAGCTGGGTCCTTTTACTAACCTTCCAGTGCTGAGAGTAGTCCTTATCCTTGATCCCTGGGCCTCTTTGGTTCTGATACTAGCCAACCCAGCAACTTCTAGAATCCTCAGAATTCCTTTACCTGAGCATACTAAGCACTTTCAGGGAACGTGAGTAACAGTAGTATTAATACTCCAGCAATAGTAGCTAATATGCATACACTTTATATTCACCTGCATCAATGCACTCGTTCCTCACAACACTTCTGTGAAGTAAGTACCATCATTTTGATTTTATAGATGAGAAGATCAAGGTACAATGGGTTGTCACTTTTTCAGAGTCATAGAGTTAGTGGAAGGCAAAGCTAAAGCTCAAATCTGTTGTGTGTTATTTATTTTATTTTTTTTTCCCTGACAGGGAAGCCTGGAATTGCTCACCGAGACTTAAAGTCAAAGAATATCTTGGTAAAGAAAAATGGCATGTGTGCCATCGCAGATCTGGGCCTGGCTGTCCGTCATGATGCAGTAACTGACACCATCGACATTGCCCCAAACCAGAGGGTGGGGACCAAACGGTAGGAAGGCCTGGGCCTCTGCCCTTGCTCAAAAGCTTGTATTGAGTGTCCCATGTGTGCCCTTTCCCATATGTACATGAGAAAGCTATACAGTTGCATTTAACAGATAAAAGTTCTAAGAGCATACCTCCATAACATCCTATATGTGTTGGTGGTATTTTGTGGGGGGTGAGAAGGAATCTATGGAGCAGGATTTAGAAGGGCAGTAGACACCAGGCTTGCCAGTCCAGGGTGGGGCTTGTGCAGAGAGTGTGGAAGGAGGCTATATGTGCTTCGCTTGAGGGTTGGTAAGAGCAGGTTTGCAGAGCTTCAGCAGAGGGGATCCAGGTGGGGTGGGGGCACCATTAGGATTATGGGCTTCCTTCTCATGTCATAGAGAAGTGGAGTAAGAAGTAAGAATTGTGATTGCAGATGGACTGCCTGAGTTGGAAATGAGACTGTCTTTTGATAGAACAAGGAAGAGGGGATCTGTTTTCTGAACCTAAATGAGTTTTTTTGGGTTTTTTTGTTTTTTTGTTTTTTTGTTTTTTTTTGAGACAGAGTCTCACTATGTTGCCCTTGGTAGAGTGCAGTGGCATCACAGCTCACAGCAACCTCAAACTCTTGGGCTTAAGCGATTCTCTTGCCTCAGCCTCTCCAAGTAGCTGGGACTACAGGTGTCCACCACAATGCCCGGCCATTGTTTAGCTGGCCAGGGTCGGGTTCGAACTCGCCACCCTTGGCGTCTGTGGCTGGCACCATAACCACTGTGCTACAGGTGCTGAGCCCCTAAATGAATTTTATTTAAATCACGCTCCTCCCTCCCATCCTTCATTCCTTTTTTTTTTGACAGAGTTTCACTTTGTCACCCTCAGAAGAATGCCATGGCGTCACAGATCACCGCAACCTCAAACTCTTGGGCTTAAGCAATTCTCTTGCCTCAGCCTCCCAAGTAGCTGGGACTACAGGCACCTGCCACAATGCCCGGCTATTTTTTAGTTGTAGTGGTCATTGTTGTGTAGCAGGCCCAGGCTGGATTCGAACCCGCCAGCTCCAGTGTATGTGGCTGGTGCCCTAGCTGCTGAGCTATAGGCATAGAGCCTTTTCTTTCTTTCTTTCTTTTTTTTATTTCAGGTTAATGTGAGGGTATAAACCACCAGGTCAAAATATTTGATTTTGTTAGGTAGAGTCCCTCTTGTCATAATGTCCCACACATAAATGGTGTGCCAAACACCCGCACCCCATGCCCATTCAGTGAGAGTACCCCAACCCCCTTCCCTCTCCACCCCAACTTTAATTGAAATGAGTTTTTCTTCTATGTGGGTATGCATCAGATCGTCTGCTGGCTTCCTATTAGTATTGAGTACATTGGATACTTTTCCATTCTTGTGATACTAAGAATAATGTGTTTCAACTCTATACAGGATATTACAAAAGATGGGAAGTCACCATCTTTTTATGGCTGAACAGTATTCCATTAGTGTGCATGTACCACAATTTGTTAATCCATTCCTGAGTTGATGGGCAATTAGGTTGTTTCCGCATCTTGGTGATTATAAATTGAGCTGCGATAAACAATCTAGTACAAATTTATCCTTATGAATAAAATGATTTTTTTTGATTGCAGCTACAGAGACACCAAAATGTGGGGCCTGAGATGATTCTTGATTTCTTGTGAGGACAGGATAACTATCCAGAGTCACTAAGGGTGCCACTGACCTCCTCTAGAATTAGTTTTCCCATATCCAGGTACTATTAGCACTGACCTTTTTTTCTTCCTTTTCATTCTTTTTATTAAAAAAAAAATTCTCCCCCTATATATCTGGTTAGGCATGGTGGCTCAGACCCTGATGCCAGCATTTTGAGAGGCCAAGGCAGGAGGATCACTTGAAGCCTTGAAGCCAAGAGTTCAAGACCAGCCTAGGCAACATATTGAGACCCCATATCTACAAAAAAAAAAAAAAAATTTTTTTTCTACAAAAATTTAAAAAATTAGGTGTGGTGGCCTGTGCCTGTAGTCCTACCTACTAGGGACTGAGGGAGGAAGATCACTTGAGCCCAGGAGTTTGAAGTTGTTATGAGCTATGATTACACCGCTACATTCCAGCATGAATGACAGAGCAAGACCCTGACTCTTAAAAAAAAAATTTTTTTTCTACATGTCTACCAAGTCAGGTCAGGTAGGATAACAGAAGAAGTTCAGAATGAAATTTAAGCTGGGCATGGTGGTTCACACTTGTAATCCCAGCACTGTGGGAGGCTGAAGAAGGAGAATTGCTTGAGCTCAGGAGTTCGTGACTTGTCTGCCTGAGAGAGAAACCCAGACTCCTAAAAAAAAAAAAGGAACAACCCAGCCAGGGACCTTGGTAAGCGCCTGTAATCCCAGCGGCTTCTGGAGGCTGAGGCAGCGGGATGCCCGCAGCCCGAGTCTGAGGTTGCAGTGAGCTATGATGCCATCGTACTATGCTCAGGGACATAGGATGAGATTCTGTCTCAAAAAAAAAAAAAAAGAAAGAAATTTAAGTTCAAGTTATCATTGTAGCTACATTCAGTAAAGTGAGAGACCCCAGTAGCAACCAGATTTATGTACCATTACTGCTCATGTGACCCATAGAACAAGGACTTCTGCCAGGCGTGTTTCAGATCTTGATGGTTAAAAATAGAGATACACACAAGAGTAACCTAGTATTGCCAAATCTGTGTTGAAGTGTTCAGATTCCAATATAAAACGTGGGAGTTTGCAATGAAGAGATGAGTTCACTTCCTATTCCTCAAATGACTTTGTGGATGATGCTCTCCCACATTCAGAAGCCCCTTAAGTTGATACTTTGATTTAGAGAGACCGATCAGGGCAGCGCCTATGGCTCAAGGAGTAGGGCACTGGCCCCATAAACTGGGGGCAGCAGGTTCAAACCTGGCCCTGGCCAAAAACTGCAGCAACAACAACAACAAAAAAATAGATCATAATTTTCTGTGTGTGACTGTATGTGTTTTGCTGTTGCAGATACATGGCCCCTGAAGTACTTGATGAAACCATTAACATGAAACATTTTGACTCCTTTAAATGTGCTGATATCTATGCCCTCGGGCTGGTATATTGGGAGATTGCTCGAAGATGCAATTCTGGAGGTAACTTTCTTTTCTTTTGTCTTCTCTTGCTCCTGCCTCCCAGTTCCAGAATGCTGGATCACCACAGGGGCTGGTACTTTACTGCTCTTTCTTTTTACCGCCTTTTGGATGCTGCTGTCAGAGCCTGAATCAAACTTAGGGTTGTCATCAAAGGAGGAGAGTCTCGGAGGCAGCTGTGCTAAGGGGGGGTTTACTCCTTGGACCAGCTTGTTGAATGGTGTTTTTCCTTGTGGTAACCATCCTGTAGTCTCATTTGGCTTTAAACAAAGAAACACATTGTCTTTATTATTCCATAGATGTGGGGGAAATGCCCTGGGTGCGAATAGCACGGGATTAATGTGGAACTGTCCTTTACATTGAAGGCTGTATATTCTAACACACTGGCTTTCAAGCCACTTTCCTGGGGAACCCTGGTGTTTCAACACTGAAATAATAGTGGTAATTTCTAAATTTGCAAGTATTCATAGAAAAATTTTCTCAAAATGAGTTTTTTTCCCTTCTCATAATTAAAAAAAAATGCTCTTTTTTTTTTTAAAGTGGCATTTGTAACTTCAGGATCCAGTAAAAGATAATTTCAGATTCAGCAGAAAACACTTATTATCACTAGCTTTGTATATCAGTGTTTTAGGATAACCTCCAAGTATTCTGCCACATGATCAAATTCAGGAACCT